TTTGCTGGACAAGAACATTAAGATGCTTAATATCAAAACTTAGTTTTATTTGGCATTCAAAATATTGAACTCATGATGCCTAAGGTAGAATGGGTCCGTCAGAAAACGTCTAGCTATGACCCCTCATTTTATAAATAAGGAAACATGAGGCCTGTGCCTGGTTAGCTTCATTGATTTGTCCAAGTCAGAATAGGAGAAATTAGAGAAATTGGTCTGGAAGGCAGATCTAGTTTCTTTCCACACCACTATGTGTCTTCACTAAAAATAAAGACAATTTTAGATAAAAGATCAACATTCTTAGAACTCACAAGGATTTGTCACTGAAGAAATTCCATCACAATGGAAAACTGAAAGATCAGTTAATTCTCTAGCTTGAGGTCCTGGAATTTACAGCAATAGCCAATCATAAAACGAGGTTTATTTCAAAAAGTTTCTCTCAAAACAATGATTATGTTCTATTGCCAATTAGTGGTAGTTTTAATGAGAGTTAAAAGTGAGGCTTAATAAATTCTTTGCCATTTATTAAGATTAAAAAATAAGTCTGATGCAATCATAACCATTCATAGAACTGGAGTCTAAAAGGACTTTTAGGTCAGTATTCATTCCGCTAAGGATGACAAAATAACTACCTAAAGGAAAGAGAACACTTTTATTATATAGATTTGCTGAGCAAGTAAAATGACTCCTTTGAAATAATTCTTCATTAAAAGTTCAATAAAACTCAACAGGCCTATAAAACAGCCATCAGTTTCAGCATTAAGCAGAGTTAATATTACTGAGTTGGGAGAAAAAGTGAAAGAAGGGTGAGAAAAAAATCCTCGTTAAATATGTAGAAATAAAATGTTTAAGCTAAATACTGAGAGACAAACTTAATATCCAAGCAGTGAACCAAAGTTTCCAAATGGAAAGTCATGAAAACTCATGTTTGATTAGACAAAGGCAAGACAACAAAGGCCACAGAGTCCACTGTTCGATACAGCACAAACACGAGTGAAGGATAAGTGACGATAGGAATCTTTTCCGTTCCCTCTTCCACCCTCACTTCCAAATAAAGAGGAACTACAGAGAAATATGAGAAGTGGCAAATCAAGAGGGAAGTTACATCTTCTATGGGAAGTAGAAAACCCTATATAGTTGCTAATGCAGTCAACAGAATCTACTTTTACTCAAATCTAAATTAAAGTTAAATATTTTTTTCTTAATAGTAAAAAAGCCACCCAGTTAAATATAATTGTAAAATATCATAGCTTCAGAATATCTTCAACACTCACCTCTTCTGGGGTGATAACACCTGTTTCCTTAAATTTTGATTCCTAAAGTGAGCAAAAAGAATAACAGTATTATACTACTTTCACTTTCAAATTAAAAATGTTTTTGTGCAGCTGTTTGCCTGGCAGCCTTCTAGGCAATGGAGCACATACAAAAAAGGAATATATCACTGGTACCTGACCTCAAGAAATATATATGTCTAGTGGAGAAAACTGACATGAAAATAATTTCTAAACAATAATTTGGGGAAATCACAAATATCTTTATTTTACAGAACAGTAAAAACGTCTTAAAGATGTTTAGACATCCCACAATTCAGCCAACATTTCATTTAAATGGAATATTAGAAACCAAACTGTAAGTGGTAAGTCATTTAATACTTTTCCATTATTTTCACCTCCAAGGTACTAATGCAATATTCTCTGCGCTAAAGCAAGGATGTTACCTATCAAATATTTCTAAGTTTTTAAGTTATATGTAAGATTTTGTGGTAGAGTCTGAAGAAATACAAAGGTTCATTTATGAACATTATTCATTCAACAAATATTAACTGAACAACTATGTGCACTATTTGAGTTAATGGGGGTATAGGAGTAAATAAAATGGAGCAAACTCATCTTTGTGCTCATAAGAACTTTAGACTCTCTAGTGGAGGGACAAAAGCCAAATGGTAATGAATACCATGAATAAAAATGAGGCAGAGAGGAAAATGCACTGGTCCAGGGTGTAAGGAGAGGTCAGAGGTGGCCAGAGAACAGAGACTTCACTGATGGAGAACTAGAGACCTTAGGAAAGGAACCAGCCGCAAGGCTGTCTGGGTGAAGAGCGTTTCAGGCAGAGGGAAGGGCAAATGCAAAACCTGAGGCAGGAGAGGCTTGATGGAGTGACAAAAATAGGTCAGACTGGCTTAAGCAAAAGTGAGCAAAGGATATGGTAGTAGGTACCAGTCGATAGGGGCCTCTACCAAGAGGCCTGGAGATCATTGTAAAGATTTTGGCTTTTACTGTACCTATGTCTCTCAAACCATGGTTTTTCTTAATTTTTACCTACTAGGAAAAATAATTATTTCTTTCCCAGGGATTTAGTGTGTGTGTGTGGTGTGTGTGTGTGTGTGTGTGTGTGTGTGTGTTTTCCTTGCCTTCCTATACCTGGTAGGAAACTATAAGTATTCTCTCTGTAAAAAAACAAGCTAGGTAGACAGTTTTCTGAAAAGATGACATAATATGCAAAATAATCACGATTCAACTGTCAAGATGGTTTTCAAATTCAAATGGACTGAATAATCTCAATTAAGATGGGTTTCACAGTAAACAAATATAAGCATAGCAAGGGTTGAAATTCTCATTTATAAACTTTCCTGACTTTTTTTTTAACTTGGTCTAACAAGGTATCATTTTAAAATCAGTCTCAGAAATAAACATGAAAAGAGTTCAGAACTAACATTTCCCTTTGCCATGGGAAAGGAGCAAAGTAAAACGGTCCACTATTCTTCTTGGTGTACCCAAATAGCTTCCTGAATAAAGAGAACCATTTCCATGGATACTTCACCCCCACACCAAGATTTGTAAAATGTTAGTGGGAAGCTTAAAAAAAACAACATTAAAAAAGAACTCGCTATTCAACCATTATAACTGCTCACTTTTCGGAAAGGAAAAAATAAAGTTGCAATAACAAACTTTACTCTAAAACAATTATATAATAAAAACTTGAATACACTTCTAGAAATTTACCTTGGAAAATAAGAAAACCATCCGTCTCTCCTGTAATAGTAATGTGTCCCAATTTTTACTTTAAAAAATGATGCATTGCCAATGTAAAATCAGTTATATACGCAGGAGGGGCAAAGCTGCTCCTTATTATCGTTAAAGTCCAAGATTAACAACTCGTTTCAGCTATTTTAAAACCTTGGGAACGGGAGGTTTTGCCTGTTAGCTGGGTTCAACGGTACTGATGAGGTTGCAAATTCACCTTGTTCCTTCGAGATCTAACAGGTTGGGATCTCAACCACCACTGGTTATTTCCAACTCATCATAAAAAAGATTTACACTTGAAAAGTAACATCTGTTATTTTAGTACCAAGTATAGATTTCATTTTTTTTAAAGATAAGTAAAATCTTTTTGAAACGTTCAAACGACTACCGATGCTGAGTTTAACGTTCTCAAATACACTTGGCTGCGGACTACCTCGCCGCCCGACGTACGCAGAGGCGCCGAGTCCTGACGGGCGAAGGGCGACACGAGTATGCACAGCGCGTCGCTCCAAGTTTCCCCCAAGAGCCGGAAAGCCCTAGGAAACAGCGGCGGAGACCACAGGTGGGGGCTGCACCTCTTCCGGTGTCCCACCTTCCTACACCTTCCCCGGGCGGAGAGCACCGTGACACCCCAGGAGCCCGGTCCTCGGCGCCTGCAGAGTTCAGCGTGTGCCTGACAGCCCCTGGCAAGCCCGGCCCGGCTTACCTTGAGAACCGGGGTCAGGTACTCAGCCACTTCCAGTGCCTTTCCCTTCACTGTGTTAATCACATTCTGCATCCTGGGGCCGGGGTAGCGGCCGGCCCCGCGACGGGGTGGGAAGGGCAGCCGGGACAGAGACCCGGAGCCAGAAAATGTCCCCGCGGCAGCCGACGTGCACCGGCACGCGGCCGACGGCACCCGAGGGGACGGGTCGCGACGGGACGGACGGGACGCGGAGGAGGGGCGGCTGGCGCCGCGCGCGAACAGGGCGCGCGCTCCTGCACCCCGGGCAGCGAGGTGGCGGACCGGGCCCAGCTGTCACCTGGCCTTGAGGGAGGGCGGCAGGGCAGAGGGGTGTGTTGGGGAGGGAAGAACGGGCGCACGCGCACCCCTGCCCTCAGGAACTCTCTTCTTCCCTTGGCTTCATTCGCGCCCCTTCCGGCTTCCCCTTCCTTTTCCCACTCTCTCGCCGTAACTCCGCCTCCACCGAGGCCTCACGTGACGCAGGCCTTTCGGGACACGTGACGCGAGAAAGGCCGCGCTGGGGCGGAATCAGGTCGCTTCTCCCCGCCCTCCGGGAGCGTAACACTGAGCGCGCCTGCGCAATGGGCGCCGGGTCGGCTCCCTGCCCGTCGGGTCCGTATTGTGCTTCTTGTTTCGTAATAGGTTCTGGGATAGAGGCTTGTTCGCCTTTCTTTCCCTCCCATACGTTCCCCGCATATGGATCCTAAAAGCTGCTGCTGCTGAACTGACTCAGCTTTAGGATGTGAGCTCTTCCACTGGAAGCTCTTCGAGGGAAGAACTGAGGTGACTGCGTCCGACAGGCCGAGCAGTGCGCGTGCGGATGAGGGTGGGCGCGGCAGAAGAGGTCCCTACTGCGCAGGTGTGACAGGAGGCTTTCCCCTGGCCTTGCAGAAGCATCTGCTGTCCTCTTGTGGGAGAGGTGGCTATTGGCCTCTGCACATTGCCCAGAGCTGTCGCTGGTGGCGTTTCAAACCCGTCGCTCAGCAATCCCCCAGTGCGCCATCCCTACACTGGGAGGCTTTCTACAAGCACCCAGCTGGCGCTTGGTGTCCTCATCATATGAAAGTGTAACCAGATAACCAAGGGGTCCCGGCTGCCTGTCACTACGTGAGCCAATTAAGCAGAGAGGATTGGGTCATATAGGAGCACTGTTGTTTTTTTTTCTAATGACGCTGGCTGTATGGGAAAGTAGCAGGTCATCCACAAAAATCAGCTTTACCTCTCCCCATCAGCCAGCTGCTTATATTGGGTAGAAGGGCAAAGATTACGTGGGAAAGTAAGAATTACAGGCATGGGGAAGGAGGCAAGGTACGATTGCAAAGGGCGGGTGCCTTGGGGACTAGATTGTTTCAGCCAAGAGGTTGTAAATCTTCCTGTAAGGATAGGCAGATCTTGGAAAAGGAGGATGGACTGCATTCCGATGTTAGCTCCCATGTCCCAGGGAACACCACTCTCAGCCGGGCTAGAATGTGTGTCTCTAATCAGAACAGAGCCACCTCAGTTAACAGCATGATTAATATTTCTTATAATTGGAGCTAATCCCCAGTATTCTATTTCTGCCCTTAACAAAAGGAGGGCCTTAGAGTCATTGATTTCTAAGTTCCTCCTTACTTCCATAATGAGTTCAGTGTAAGTTAACAGTAGTGTAATGAAATCTTTCCAAGCAAGCTCTTTTTGCTCCTCCTCAGGAAGAGCTGCAACCGAGGAGAGAAATACAAATCTGAAATTCTCATCTTGTAGAACAAAGTTGCTAATACAAATGAAAGTTAAAGAATTGCTTTTCTGCAGAATTCTGCAGTCCCCCAAGTGTCAATTACTCACTTGCTACCTCTGGTAGCACTTCTAATGTGGTTCTTGCCTTTTCTGTCTCTAGAGTTACCCCTCTATCAAATTTTGGTTGTTTTCGTTTGCTGTCTCCATAGTTTCTCTTGTGCACTTCAACTTTCTTGGTTTTGATAATAGCCATAGCCAGCAGGGTTACCCATGAAAATTTCTTTTCTGTTCTTCACACATCTATGGTATTTGCATTAGCCTTAATCTGCCAGTTGGGTTGCTCATGAATTTATTCTTCTTTTTAAGGCAATTAGAAAACAGTGAAATGGAAAGCAAGTGCTGTGGTCATCCCATGTTATGCTCCTTGTCAACAATGTATACGTTCTTGCTAGGGACCATATTTATTGCTTTAAGCTCAAGTCGCATCCTATTGGTAAAATATTCAGCCAATGAAGGTAAGTTAAGACTTATAATATGAATGGAGCACTTTCATCTAATTACACATTCTTCTGTGTGGTTTTTTTGTTTGTTTTCTTGTGGGTAAAATGGGGATAATACCCTTCAAGTACTCGGCTTCATGTGAATGATGAAGAATGTTTAAATTGATTTTTTTAATGTTTAATTCTTTAGCAAGAAATATTTTTTATGCTTAGTGAAATTTGGGTCAGTCAAGTACAGGATCCAACCCTTTACAGAACAGATCATAACATGGCTTTAATCAACCAGTATATCTGGGCCTGTAGCAATATGGAGGATATATTTGTTTGGTCAGTTGGCATTTTTGATGTACCATCTTAGTTACTGCATCAGTGGAACAATACAGATTATTAGCTTTGTTCAAGAAATCTGTTTTTTAATGTAAGAATTTGTATTTAAACTTACTTTAACTCCACAAAACTATATGGAGAACCTTTCACGAGTTACTGAGGACACATAAGTTTATGACACCATGACCTTTAATGGTCTGCTTGAGAAGTCTGATGTGTCCTAAGTCTCTATTTCCCAGTTAGCATTTATCTGCCAGGCCCTAGGCTAAGTATAAGCAGGGTGCAAAGTGCAGAGAACTTATGTATTTGTATGCTTAGCCCATGGACACAGGCAATAGGGTTGTGAAGAACTGGATAGAGGCTGGAGGAGGGGGAACATCTGTAATACTATCAAAAATAATATATATATATATAATAGATTTTAAAAAACAAAGTGCATAAGACATAGACCTAGTCCTCATGAACAGTTTATTAGGAGAGACATAATGTAAATACATTGTGAAAATACAGCATCCTAAATGCAGCTCTGTGCCAAAGACGAAGACATTGTTTAGAGTAGAAAGTGGTATATTCTATCTGGGAGGCAATGATGTGGAGTGCAAAGGGATAAAGGAATGCTTTCTTGTTAAGGTGACAGTTGATCCACAAGAATACAAGGTGGTCAGGAGTATTCAAAACAGCCTGTAAAAATGAAGAGATACATCTAAAAGTAGGATTGATTGTGAGAAACATGTAGTTCAAAATTACTGAACAAAAAGTTTAAGGCTCAGAAGAGACGGGAAAGGAATGCTTTTCCAGAGAGAGAAGCAATGATCAGATAGTTAAGGACTTCATATGCCATGCTAAGGACCTGGGACTTTATTCTCTAGACCTTAGAGTCTGAGGAATAAGGAATACTTGGAATATCATAAACAGAAGGGGAAATGAAAAAGACTATTATGGTAACTGGATGGAGGAGGGATGAAAGGGGAAGAGACTATTAGGAGGAAGAACAGGTTGGGCAGAGTTCAGAGAAATTACAGAGTTTCAGTTTGTACCTTCCATATGGCCAGTAGCTCTATACTTGTTCATTGCAATATTCTGCAGTGTCTAGAAGATCACACATGTGAAGGAAATGAAAATTAATGAATAAATACAAGGTAGTTATTCATATGTATATGTTTAATGAGCATTAAATGTTCCAGAGTACAGATTTGGAGACATTAATATTAAATTGACATTTAAAACCCTAGAAGCAAAGGGCTCATTCAGGGTAACATGCAAAATGAGAAAACAGAGCCAAGGGCAGAACTCCAAGGAATGCCAACATTTAGCCATCCTGCAGGCACTCAGAAGGATGTTAAGAAGGAATTGTTAGCGAGAACGAAATGCACATGACTCATAGAAGGAAAGAAACAAGTTTGAAGACAAGGAATTGCAACGTCATACTAAGATAAGGGTTAAAACATGCCCTTTGGAATTAGTAATATATCTATAATAATGAAAGCATAATATGTTAATTAGACCAGACAGCCGAATGACCTTCCAGACATCATTCCGGACGTCCTTCCGGATGAAGCCGCAGTGGCAGGGGCCGAGGCAGATGCGGTTAGGGGCAATCAGGCAGGCAGGCAGAGTGATCAGGGGTGATCAGGCAGGCAGGTGAGTGGTTCGGGGTGATCAGGCTGGCAGGCAGAGGGGTGAGGGGCG